GGCCAAACCGCCTGGCCAGCAATATGCTGGGGAGGAGAGGTCAACCGGGGCGAGGCACCCCTGCAATGGACTGTCCCGCCTGGTGACTGCACCTGCCCTCGTCCTGCTCTGCCCGTCCGTCCGCCTGCCGGCAGCGAACGTTGCTTTTACTGGGGAGGGAGATACCGGTGTCGCTAAGAAGTACCTTCGTTTGCCAAACAGCTTCCGATGCCTGAGCCTCGGGTTTGCTCAGAGGTGACAGCTACAGGCGGTTTGTTCAGGCTCTGCCGCTTGGTGTCATCTATGCCGGGGGCGGTGTGAACCCGTGGCAGCACTGCATGCTGGGAGCTGGGGGTGGACACAGTTGTGGGGGGAAACATGGTAAGGAAATCTGAAAATTCCCTTCCAAGTCGTGTGCCTGGCTTTGGTGATGGAGCAAGGAAATGTGCTGAGGAAGACGGGTTCAGGGGGATCAGGAAAACGGGTGGGAAAAAAGCCCCAAAATAAAGGCGCAGCCGGACCGAACCGTCACTGGCCATTCTTTTCAGTGTCAGCCACGGTGTCAGCCAGAGACACGGCACAGCGTGCGATGAGCCTCCGTGGCTGTGGCCGCCGGGCAGACAGTGCAGATGTGGCTGTGGGCGGCTCTGCGGCAGCGTGCTGGGACCCCGTGCCGTGACCCTGTGCCATGACCCCGGTGCTGGGACCCCAGTGCTGCAACCCCTATGCCACGACCCTGGTGCTGCGAGACCCCTGTGCGGCGAGACTGTGTCTGTCTGGCTCCCCATCCCCACCCCAGCCCCAGGTCCCACACGGCACCCAGAGCAGGGCGGCTCCCAGCAACCAAGGTCCCCTCCCCAGTGAGGCCTGGGGTCCCACTGGGCCTGCCTGGGACCGAATCCTGAAAGCCGCCTTCAATATTCAAATTGTGCAGCAACTTTCACTTCCCCCGGGGCCAGGCCACTCTGCCAGGGAAGTCGCATTTGCCTGCGGCACTGCCTCCCAGGGACTCTGGGCCTCAGGGTGTGGGAACTGGCTCCTCCAGGCCGAGGCCGCGGGGTCCCGGAAGGTCCCGGGAGGTGCCTGCGCCCACTGGTCCGCCCTGACCTCCAGTCCCCTCCCGACCATCCGCCTCCAAAACAGAAACCGATGCTGGTGGCAGCGGAGGGTGGGATTTCCACAAATGGGGAAGGAGCGGCAATGCCCACGGTAGGTTCTTGCAGGATCATCTCCTCCCAGAGAAAAAGAGGAAAAGAGGCAAATCACTTTCCTCTTGCTTCTGCTTCTCCTGCAGAAACTGCTTGCCTCACTTCCTCTGCAGTTGGAGAAACGCTCCTTGTGAAAGCTGCCATTTCCACACAGTCCCCGCTTCCAGGCGCGTTTTGCATTTCAGGATCCGGCCCCCACCAGCCCGGCCCCTGTCCCTGTCCAGGGTGTGAGCGGGTGAGCGTACGGCATCTCCCTGAAGACAGCTGACTCCAGTCACCTGGTTCTTCCTTCAGGGGAGCGTGTGGGTCTCCCAGGACCCCAGGGCCAGGCGGGGTGTGGTTCTGGAAGGTTCCACGGGAGGACTGGAGACCTCCCAGCATTGCCTGTGACCACGTCCACCAGCAGCAGCCACTGAATGTCCAGGCTTCTGTGTGCCCTCAGGGCACGTAGCCTCAGGACGCCAGCAGCAGGCACTCAGGGCACCTAAGGGAAGTCGGGCAGCTCCCCATCCCACCCACCTGGGGGACACGTGGGAGGAAGTGCCTGGAACTGTCCTCCGGGGAGCGAGCTGCCTGCCTCTGGGCCCCGGGCTCAGGTTCTCAGGGAGATGCATTAGAGGCCGCGGAGGCTGAAGGGAAGCGGCCCCAGCCTTTACCCCCTCCCCCCAGGCAGCACCCCCCTCCTCCTGTCCGGGGGACCCAGGGAAGCACCGCCCATGTACAGGGAGCCAAGGCCCTGGTCACACAGGCAGGAACCCCCCAGAGCATTCTGAAATCTAGTAAACTCAGCATACATTCTTAATAAATTTAAGTGAGGTACATCAACATAAAGTGAAGGAACTTACAGTGGGAGCTTCAGCAAATTAACTGAACATTCCGGGCGTCGGAGTTGGAGTTCTTCAAACCACAGGCACATCTGCTGGGCTGCAGTCCGCGGCCTCTGGAGCCTGGAAGCTGAGGGGCGCGCTCCACCTAGTGGTGAAGGGGCGCGCGGGCGGGACGCCAGCCTGGCTCCCAGGACAGGCCCCAGCCCAGGAGCCCCGCGGACGGACACCGGGCCCAGCGCCTCGCCCAGAGGGACAGGCTGCGCCCCGGGGGCTCCAACGCACAGGCCGCCCAGCAGGACGGTGGGACAGGCTTGCAACCGGCCGCCTCGGGTCCTTTGCTGATGGTTTGTCTCCAAACACCCCGAGCCCGTCGCTGGCTATGCTCCTCCTGAGCAGTCCTTGCATCGATGTCGCTGACACCAGGCGGCGCTCCCCACCAGGGCTGCCGGAGGGCCTGGCTCGGCCCCGCCGCTCCTAACTGGACAGAGGCCCCCACTCCTGGCTCCCTGGGGGCACACCCTGGCCCTGCCCGCCCCATGGCCTCAGGTTCCCCGAGCCCAGGTCTCATTTCTCAGCAGGAGCAACAGTCCCTCCTCCCTCCCATGGCCAGTGGCCGGGTCTCCAAAGCGAACTGACCACAGACGGGTCCACAGGAGAGGCTTGTGATTCTACTTGAGTTTTACATGGAATTGGGGGGGGGGGGGGCGGGCGGTAAGGACTTCAGAGAAAGACAAAATAGCCAGGCTTGGAGGCTGTTGTCCATGCGGACAAAGGTCAGGTTCCTGCTCGTCTCCCTTCGCTGACCAGTGGAGAGGCCCTGAGACCCAGCTCGCCACCCTCCCCCCCGTCATGGTGCTGCCTGGAGCAGCAGCCACATTTGGTGAAAGAGATTCCTGGCAGAACGGAAGCCCACAGCAAGTCTGGCGCAAAGAGCTCCATCCTAATTTCTGCAACTTCTTGTGGTCTGAGATTTTCAAATAGAACATGTTCTAAGTGAATAAAAAAGATATTTTAATGAGACCAAAGACACGTGGGTGAGCTGGCGAGTTTCGGATAAGGGTGGGATCCCGGGCAGACCCTCTCCTGTCCACCCCCACTGTCCCCGCGGGTCTAAGCTGACGGTTTCTGCCGGTCCGTTCCTCACACTCAGCCTCCGTGGACTCATGGGCTCGCGCCCGTGGACGAGTCTCACCCACAGATCTTCGCAGACCACCCTCCTCGGCCTGAGGCCTCGTTTCACCAGGGCCGCCCGTGAGCGTCCGTGCTCTCACTCCTCCCCGTGAGGTTTCGCTAAAAGGACGCACAGCCCCTGCTTTTCCCGAGACACCATGTCCTGGCCACAAAGCTCTTCATTGGACAGACACCGAGAGCCCTTACTTCTCCAACGACTACTCAGGGCTCGCATGTCAGAGCTGAAGAGGAGAGTGGAAGGGACAGGGTGTTAGCAGGCATGAGCCTGTCCCTGGCGCTCCCAACTCCTGCTCTCCTTTCCTCCTGGTGACCCTTAGGAAACATTATTCTTATGGAAAACCAAGCACAGGAAGCATCAGGAGGAGACAGGAGCACCAAGATTCAAATTCCAGCACCTCAATGGTTACACAGGGTGAGCACAGCAGGCTTAGTTGTTCGTTTGGAACATACAAGAATAAACTGTCTCGCACACTCACACTGTAAGCCTACTTCTGCCCAGCCGGTGTTCTGTACCAGGCAGGGCCCAACCCGGTTCTGGGCCTGGACGCGCGGGTTCTCTCACACCAGCCTCAGCGCTGTCCGGTTACAGCACTTCCTCCTGTTCCAACCTGATAAGCCTCGCAGAGGCGCTCCTCTAGTCCATCACATGCTTTACCAAGTTATCAGGGAATTGGTTCCCTTGCTTTTTAAAAAATGTCGTAACTTCTCTAGACCATGATGAAGCCTGTGCTACGTCCCACGTAAGTTGGCACATCTGCTGCGGAGGAAACACTACCCCGAGCCCCCCACTTCTTGGACTAGGTGTTCCTGACTCGATTCCTCAACTTGGGTGGACTTCTAGAAGCGTCTTAAGTAATAAGTTTACCTCCAGTTCCCCTTGCTAACCGGCCTATTGCGAGCGTGGCTGCAAGAAAGACAAGCCCGGCTCCTTACTTCACAGCGTTGCTCAACCACCAGAGTTACAAGCGGGGGTGCCCCAGCCTTTTGAGGCTCATCGCCCCTCCCCCCTTGTCAGGCAGTGATGCCAGGCCGGTCTCCCGGCCCAATCTCGGCAACCCGATTGCTGGTAAGTGAAAACACTGACCCTCGTGACCAAGCGAGAGAGATGCACTTCATCAAGAGAACTTGGGAGCCCCGTGCAGCGCGGAGAGCCTGACGCTCAGGGTAACGTCTGCCCCCCACACCAGAGTGGAACCGAGTCGGCGAGAGCCTCAACACCCATTAGAGCAGGACTGGGCTTTTCCAAAGCACAAAGCGCTCACAAAAACACCTCTTTCCATTTCTGTGTACAATCGCATTTTCCAATCTAACTCAGATCGGTCGGAAGGAATAATGAGATGCCAACATATTTAGTTTGCATCTAAGCTTATCCATTAAAATAGATTTATCTGCACCATTTCCCTTAAATTGCAAACGCGTCCTGGTTTTACAGCAATTTTCTGTATTTTGTGAAATTATGTTTCCGGTAGCTTATCATGCATTTGCGCTGAGGCGCTGCACTGGGTCAGAGGGCATGCGCGGCCGGCCCGGCTGTTTCTCCCGACGTGAGTCACCCTCACCTGTCCCCCACCCTCCGGGAAAGTAGGTTCATCAGGTCTGTGGTCACAGACGGAGCGTCCTGCATGTGTCGCCTGCTCGGATTCCTTTGTAAATGGGTTTCTGGCCACCCCGCTTCCTAAAATGAAGATGAAATCTGTGTGTACCTCACAGCTACTGTTTAAAGCAATTTGACAGCTTTGCTCAATCTGGAGTCGGATGAGTGACTGTTGGCTAAGGATTCTGATGAGAGGTTTGCTTCATTTTTTAGAGATTTATTTAGCATTTAGTCGTTGTCTTTCCAGCCCCGTGTCCACGTGGAAGGCACGCTTTCTGAGGAATTTACTGCAGCTTTCAATGCTTACCCCTAGCCTATCACCTGCTAACAACCCATTGGCACCAAAACAAAGTACACAAACGGTCACTGCTTAATTACTCATGTTCCATACTTGAAAAATACTATTTCATCGAGTCTTTAAAAATTACAAAGAGTGCATCGTTGCTGGAACCAGTCACAACACCGACACTGCACGTGAGTCCGGGGAGGGGTCCCAGCTCCCCTCGCTCCGGGCAGCAGCGGGGAGTGTCCCGGAGCCTCCTGCGGACGTGCAAGCAGCCTCGTCCCTGAGCAGGAGCCGGCCCTCTCCTCGGGATGCAATGCACGGCATCCACGAGGTTTCAAACCATGTCGTGAACCCCATCAACAGGCTAACAATCCTCCGTGGTCGCAAATTCAGGTTGTGTGTTTTCTCACATCTTAAATGTTTCAATGACCTGATCGTGTGGCACTGACATCGAGAAGAGAAACATCTTTTGGCAGATACAACCCCACTCCTTCCAGAAAGGCTGGGCACACCACACTCTCCCACCAGGTGTGGCCATGGCCCACGCTCCAAATCCTACTGTGAACTCCCAACATTATCACACTTTTCTGGTGCTTTAATAATTTCTAGTGTTTAATTTCACATTTTGGCTCCATGTTGAAAGGTGAATGACTGGTAGGAAAGATCAACGACTAGGCAGTCAACATATTTTCGTTTACAGTAAACAAAAGGTACACAGCCCAACGTCCTGCCCGAACTACACGCCCAAGACGGACTCCGTGAGGCCATCCCCACGACAGAGTCCGAGGGGCCGTGTCAGGGAAGATGCTGCCGATGCCACTAACATGGGAAACGGTGAAAAATGAGGCTACAGAAGAGAATGCTGCACAAACACCAGGAGGAACTGTTCCCAGTGCTTCCCCAAAGGGGCGGCAGCAGCCATTCCCTTTCCTTCCTCTGCTACCTCCAGTGTCGCGCTTCCACAATGAACACGCATTATTTATACAGCAGAATGCGCCATCACAGAAAGCTGCAAACACTTACTTTTGAAAGATACCACTTCTCCAGGCTGCCACCTAGCGTCCAATATGTATTGTCAGACAACAGCTGCCCCTTAGGAAGCCATTCCCCGTCAGTCTGTGGCACACCTGCTCTTAGACCACACTCTGCTCTTCCTGAACATGTTTCACTAGCTGGTCCTGCTAAGAGAAGACAACAGTAAGAGCTCACAAACCGAAGTAAAAACTGGCACTGTCCCTCGAGTGTTCGGTGAGATCTTACATCTTAAACAACAGTGAGTGAGCCATGCTGTCTCGAACGTAAACCACAGACTAGCAATAAAAGATGCGTGTCAATCACACAGCCTCGTTTACAAGGACTCAGAGCTCAATCTGGGCTCACCGTTCATCCCACTGCACAGCTTGAAAAGAAGGACGTTAGAAACCAGACAAGACCCCTCGCGTTGGGTATGACTAGGTGTACACATCAGGGAACAACTGGAAGAAAATCAAGCTCCTAGCCACCCAGGCTGTCAATTGCAATTGCTCCGTCTGCGGTTCCGGACTCAGGACACACACTCCCAGGACCACGGATGAAGCCCCAGGTTCCCGAGCTCCAGGCCGGGAAAGGCTGTGCCACGCTCTTTAACTCTAAGGGTCCTGCCTACTTCCCACAACCGAAGGTTCTGTCCCAGTTTTCATAAAGCTCTAGGTCTGTGGGAGAAACGCTGGGCCGTACAGTTCTGAACGCGTTGTCGAAGTCCACGTAAGCTATGGGTGGGACCTGGTCCGCCGTTATGGTGGCGATGTCGGCGGCCTGTAAGCTGCGAATGGGGCCGAGGGACGCCTCTCGGCACAGCTGCGTCATGTCGGCGCCCGAGAAGCCTGCCGACCGCTGCACCACCAGCTCGATCTCCTCCTCGCGGAGGCTGCACGGCTCCCTGGACATCAGGCGTGTCACTATCTGCTTCCGGGCTGAGGCCTCCGGGAGGGGGATGTAGAGCCTTTTCACCAACCTCCGCCGGGCGGCCTCGTCGATTTCCTGAGGCCGATTGGTTGCTCCCACGACTAGAATGCGATCTTCAGAAGACGTGGTGGCTCCATCCAGCTGAACCAGAAACTCAGTCTTGATCCTCCTAGAAGACTCGTGCTCCCCATCTGCCCGCTGGGATAACAGGGAGTCGATTTCATCAATGAATATCACAGCGGGCTGCTGGCACCGCGCAACCGCGAACAACGCGCGGACCATCTTCTCCCCCTCGCCCACCCACTTGGAGGTCAACGAGGAGGCCGAGATACTGAAGAAGGTGGCCCCAGACTGACTGGCGATGCACTTGCCAATCAGGGTTTTCCCAGTCCCAGGAGGCCCGAAGAGCAGAATCCCCTTGGGCGGGCCCCGCAAGCCCGTGAAGATGTCGGGCCGCATCATGGGCCACACGACGATCTCCTTTATGGTGGCCTTGGCGAACTCCACCCCCGCGATGTCGTCCCAGGTCACGGGGGGCCCATGGTCCATAATCTCACTCATAATCAGTTCGATCATCTTGGGCTCCAAGCTCTTCAAACGCTCGTCCACGGGGGGCGCTGGCTCTGCGGGCCCGGCACTGTCAGGCTTGTACTGCACCCCCCCATGCGCATCCCCCCCATCTGGCTTAGGCACAGGAGGGACAAACTTCCCAAAAATTCCTCGGGATCGACTGGCGCCCAGGGACTTCTTGACGCCGACGCCGCCATAGGAAGGCGCTGCCGCCCGGGCAGGCGGGTGGTGCTTTTTCTGCTGCTCCACCCATAGCTGCTCCTTTGCGGTTTTAAAGGTTGGCAGGCCGCCTTCCTCCCGGTGGCCGTTCCCCTCCGTTTTCCTAAGAGCCTCACTCAGGGTCGGGGCAGAAAGGGCTTCGGCGGGGCCAGAGCCGTAGAAAGCGCTCCTGTCCCAGGGGCCTTCACCGCCGGCAGGAGAGCGAGGCTGACGGGGTAAGAACAGACTCAGTCCCGGGCTGGCTTTTGGAGCGCTGCTATTTTCCTTCCTGACATTTCCAAATAACGGGGTGGCTAAGTCACCAAAGGGTGCTGAGAACATGGGACACGTCTTGGGGGTGTTAGTCGCCACAGGGGGCTGGGCACTCAAAGGGCCCGAGGGACCGCTCTCTGGGACGTCCGGGGTCCAGCCTGTACCGTGAGCTGGCTTAGTCAGTGGGTCGCTCTCCCGAGAACCACCACAAACGCTAGACTTCGGAGGGTCGGGGACCACGGCCCCTCCATGGATCACGACGGAAGCATCAGCAGGGGCCAGCAGGGAGCCTCGGAGCTTCTCGCCAGCCCGCATCATCTCCTGCACACTGCGCATCTGGAAGACATTACTCATCGACAGTCCCGACTGCCACTTGTGACTGTCTGTCTGCTGCGCTCTTGCTACCGTTAAAACGTTTTCCGCATAGTTATTCAAGCCGGTTTCCACGTTGTCAGAATCAATGATGGCCGAGTATTTCTCTGCATATTTCTTGAACAGTTTGGAAGCGCAGACCTGGGAGATCTCAGAGTTGGCCCACGCATACTGAACGCGCAGCACCTGCGCCCGGTAGGCCTCTGCCTTCTGCGCGGCCGTGCACGTGCCAGATGTAACTGCAAAGTAGCTCTTCTGCCATTCGCTCAGGTGCACAGCCCGGGAGCTCGGGGCCTGCATTTTACAGGTCCTACAACAGAGACAAAGGGAAAGCGTCAGGAGTGACTAAAGGAGGCGCAGGGAGACGTTTAAACCTCCGCTCACCTGAAAGAAGGGACACGGGATCTTTCATTTATAAGGTAAATCTCCAGCATTTAAGATATAAAGACCTGACTTGCTAATGCTGTTGAACTATTTTAGTAATAACTTTCCGCACAAATAGGGAAAACATTCATAAGGGAAGGATTTAAAATTAACCTGCAAAAGGAAGGCGCCACGGAAGGAGCTACAGACAAACAGCAAAACAAACCAAGCCTGGGGTGGAAGTCGTCTCCAAGGAAAAATCACAGGAATGATCTCAAGCCTCTTATTACCGAGCCTTAGGGTTCATCTGTAAAGTGAGAGAGATCACTGAGCGCCAAGTCACTCCTCGAACATAAACATGCCCTGAAGCTGTCACCAGCCCTCCGGCACACGTAGGCGCCGAGGCTGGGGTGTGAAGGAGCCCCGAGACCAGAGCGGCAGCACTGGGGCCGGAACCGCACAAGAGCGCTCACTCCAGGCAGCTGCACGTCGGGTCCCATGTGCAAATGCCCAAAGGGCAGAGCGGCTAGACCAGGAATAGGAACTGCTGGCTCACTGCGTGCTCATAAGGCCGCATTCAGGAATGAGCACTTCACACACGAACCCCGAGGTGATGAGGCTCTCGCCATTTCCGATTTCACCTGAAGCATTAAAAAGCGAAACCTTCATGATACAGCAGCCATGGGAAACGCACAATCTGCTGTAAAGTGCTTAGATTTTACATTTCTTCCCTCAGGTAATCCTTATCAGCCTCCATGCGTTAAGGCAAAATTACTTTAATACAATTACAGATGAACGTAGCCTGTGGCTGGATGTGGAACTTACCTGCCAACCTGCAAGGAAAATGTGTAAGAAGCTTTGAAGTCTCCTAACAGCACTGCATAAAGGAAAAACCAAAAACCTGTGTATTTTGAAATTTACCGTCTGAGTTACTTGTGAATACAGCTTAAGGACCATGTTTTATAGTTGTGCGTCTCCCATAATGCCTTACAAAGAGCCTGCTGCACTGTAGACAGGTGTTTGTGAGTCTTCGCTAAGAACAGTAAACGTAAGCCCTGGCTGGTGTGGCTCATTGACAGAGCACCAGCCTGCACACCAGAGGGCTGCGAGTTCGACTCCCAGGCAAGGGCACGTACCTGGGCTGCAAGCTTGTTTCCCGCCCCGGGTCCCCAGCCCAGGTCAGGGTGCATGCCGGAGGCAACCAATGGATCTCTCTCTCCCTCCCACCTTTCCACTCTCTCTAAAAGTCAACAGGGGAAAATATCCTCTGGTGAGGATTAAAAATAAACTTAAGACTCAAGGAGATTCTAATTTGCTTAAAGCTGTAAGGGTAAAGAGTCAAAACGAGAACGGACATGTGCCGACCATCCCGCATCCCACACCGTTTAACTTATTTTAATCTCTTTTGTGCAGCACTGGGAATGGGAGATTGAAGGAGAGGTGAGTTGGTGCAGGTTTAGCACAAACCCCTCTCGCTGGGGACAGCCCTGCCACCTGCAGCCCTGGGACTCCGCACAGCCGGTGCCCGCTGCGCCCGCACCCCTTTCTGCTCCGCATCCCGAGCTCCCAGCATTCACCGCGGAGTCCCACTTCTTCCTTGGAACTCGGCGGCTCGTCCAGCACCGCGGACGCGGCGGACACAGCTGCGGGCCGGCACTGCTCGCTGGCTCGGCCACTGTCCTTCCACGGATTCCGAGTCCCCGGCATCCTTCCGGCGTCCCCGGACCTAACGCTGACGCTCGCCCACCGCACATGGGCACCGCGTGCCCCTTTCCCCACCTGGAAGAGCCCCTAGGCCAGTGGTCGGCAAACTCATGAGTCAACAGAGCCAAACACCAACAGGACAACGAGTGAAATTTCTTTTGAGAGCCACATTTTTTAAACTTAAACTATATCGGTAGGTACATTGTTATTAACTTAATGAGGGTGCTCCTAAGCTGGCCTTTGCCAAAAACGCCCTCAATCTGATGGAGGTCCTTCGCTGAGGCCGACCCTTCCAGTCTCCCGTCCACACTCGCCTTGTGTACTTGTCTCCTTTCGTCCATCCTCTGTATGTCCACACCATCTCGGCGTACCTTTCTCCATCCTCCACACTACATCTTTCACTCCACAACGTTCCCTAAAATTAGCTTAATAAACTTTAAAGTTTTAAGTCTTAGTTGAACTATAGGTACGTTGAATAAAACTCGATATCATACTTAATAACGATATTACTTCCTGATAAAATTAAATTCCTTACAATCTACCCTACAAGCTCCATAAAATTAAATCACAATGACTGGCCCAGGCCGAAAACCGACTTCTGCGCAAGGGCCACGAAGTTTCAGTCGCACTGTATGTGCGCACACGTGGTATTTTGTGGAAGAGCCACACTCAAGGGGCCCAAGAGCCGCATGTGGCTCGCAAACTGCGGTTTGTCGACCATGGCCCGAAGGTAAGGTGTGCTCTCTCGCTGCAGGGGCCGCCGCAGGTCAGACCTGCCCCTGCCACCTCTCCGTCTCCCCGCCTCCGGGGTGGGCACCGGGCCGGAAGCTGCGCAGGCGCGGGCGGACCCTGCAGAACCTTCCAGACCCGGAGCGAGCACCCGGGGCAGCGCGCCAGGCCGTGGCCTTGCTGTGTGCGCAGCATCCGGTCTCAGGGTCCCGCAGCGCCCCCTGCCGGACGAGGCGTCCAACCCCGAAAAGTGCTCCGACCAGCCGACCAGCCGCCCCGCTCGCCGCGGCCCCGCCCCAGGCCCCGCCTCCTCTCCCAGCGGCGGGGACCCTGGCGACCTCGGGTCATCGTCGGAGGGGGCCGGCAGCGCAGAGCGGCGCTGGGGATCTACACGAGGCTCCGGGCGCAGAGGCGCCGGCAGCAGGGCCCGATTCGCCCGCGCGGACGGGCAGTTGCCCCTGCCCCCGCCCCCAAAGGGGAGTCACCTGCAACACTAGCGTGGAGGGCACGCCCCTGCGAGGGCCGCTCCAGGGTCCGGCCGTCCCTCCGCCGCCCAGGAGCCCTCGCCCTGCCGGCCGCCCCGGAGGGTCTGCGGGCCGAGCTGGCCTGTCCGCGCCTCTCGCTTCCGCTCGGACCGGCCCCTCCACTCCACGCCACCCGGGTCCCCACAGACCTGCGGCTTCCAAAAAGCCCGCGGACCGATGTGCGCCTGCGCGCTGCGGACGTGCTCGGCCCGGGCCGTGCGTGCGTCTGTGCGGGGCGGACGCGCGCGTCGGGGACGAGGCTGAGCGTGGGAGGCGGGGCTGAGCGCGGGGGGCGGGGCTGAGTGTGGGGGCGAGGCTGAGCGTGGGGGACGGAGCTGAGCGTGGGGGGCGGGGCTGAGCGTGGAGGGCGGGGCTGAGCGTGGGGGGCGAGGCTGAGCGTGGGGGGCGGGGCTGAGCGTCGGGGGCAGGGCTGAACGTAGGGAGCGTGGCCGAGCGTCGGGGGCGGGGCGCTGGCCCGGGCTCCGGCCCACGTGGTCGCAGGAGGCTGTTCTGTTGCCGTGGAAACGCTAGCTGTGCAGCAGGCGGGCTTTACTGAACTGGAAGGTCTCCCTGCGTTTCCCTGCGAAGGCGCTTCACCCTTGGAGTCTCCGCAATCAAGAGGCGCAGGCGGCGAGGCGGGCTGCATTCAGGGGGCTCCCCTAGGATGCGCTCACCGGAACTCACCTGCCCGCCAGGAGTCCTCGAAGATGGGCCCAGTGGTTCCGGAGGCCAGGCACGTGGCGGGCAGGTACCTGTTATCGGTGTTATAGGCTGAGACTAAGCCGAGTGGCCAGTCAAGTCCATGTGCGATTCCAGGAGCCTGGGGAGCTGGAATACCTGCTGTCAGCCCTGCGGCTCGGAGCCGCCCCGCCCCCTCTGCCAGCACATCCCTCCCAGCCTGGCTCCTTAGGGTCCCGCCCATGCAAGTCTGAGGAGCTCTTCTTTACCACCTTGGACTTTGGCTTCAGAGAACAGAGCCACTTAGGTGAGTTTAGTGAATCGCGTTTTCAGACCAAATAACAGAATAGCCACGAACAGCCGCCTATTGAGTGGTGCATGCCCCGGTGGCCCGTCACAGGAGGTCTGGTCTGGAGGTGGGCGGTTCGGTCCGATGACCCGCCTAGGGCTGTCAGGAGGGCCGTCTTTCCATCTTCCATTCCGCCTTCTTCTCCCCCGTGGATTCCCCCCAGGCCTGGGCCTCTTGCCCCAGGAGGGCCCCCCCACACGAGGAACCCGCCTACTTAGAGCAGGAAGGAGGGGACACACTGGGACAGGATCCTTTCCCTGGAATTCTTCTCTCTTAGAAAAAGGAGGAAGCCACTTCCTGGGAAGCCTAGAGCCTTCCTCTCCCTGCCTGGGCCCAACGGGTCCCAGGGGGAACCCTTCCTGGGAAAGTGACTACCGGGAGGTGGGGGTGGAGAACATGACTGTTGAGTAGCAACTACACACAGGACATCCAAATGACCGTAAAAAACCACCCTGCTCATGGTGGTCCTACTTTTTGTGCTCCGTAATCTTGCTATTTATTTATTTAAAAGTTGGAGTTACCTCCAAGTAAACCTTAAATGTTGTTACAGCTTCGAAAACCGTGCCTGACATGTATGACACACTCAATACACATGGTTGAATGAATGAATGCTGCTTAAAACTATCCAAGGATGCCATGCCTCTGGCCGCTTGGAAAGGGTCCGTCCATATTATAACCATCAGCTGGGCACGGCGCAGAACAGGAAGCTCACCAGACGCAATAGCCATGGCACTTCAGATTGTTTATTGAGCACTGGCCGCAGGACGGAGCAAGGGGAAGGCCCAGGCGTGACCTCCATCGCCCAGCCTGCCCTGGGAGAGAGCTCGAGCGCCCTCCCCGCCACGGCCAACTCCAAGAGCACGAAGCACTATGATTGTTTAATTCACAAAACCGCAGCCAAACAATGAATGAAAGCTACATCCCCGGGGACTGACTTTTCACGCAGCAAATAATATCTCTTCGCCGACGAGAGACCCGGGAGACGAAGCGCAGGCGTCTGGTGGCGTCGGAGAGAGAAGTGCGGAGCCGGCGGGCTCGCTTCCACGGAGCCGGGTGCTGTTTATCTGCCTCTCCCTCCAGTTTTCAGATACACGTCTGTTCAGCGTGGATCTCTACAGGGGGAATAGCATGAACATATGGCTACATTAAAAACACACAGAAGAATCAAAGAATGTTGTACGCGTCCCTCCGAACACAGAGAAGGGTGTGTGTGAGGGAGTGTGACCTGGGAGGGAGGAGGTCTCACTGCCGACCTGGCTCCTCTGTGGCACATTGTATCGAGGTCAGAAGACCCTGCCCCGCTCCCCACCCCCTGGGAAACAGAACCTCGACCCTCCCTCTCCCTCAGAACCGTGGCCTGGGCTTGACGTGGCGGCCTCAGCGACGCTCACGTGCAGCCGAGGTGTTAAGATCTCCCTCCCTCTTGTCCAGCGGTTCTCAACCTGTGGGTCGTGACCCCTGAAAATACATCCTGCATATCAGATATTTACATGACGATTCATAACAGTAGCAAAATTACAGTTATGAAGTAGCAACGAAAATAATTTTATGGTCGGGGGTCACCACAACATGAGGAACTGTATAAATGGTCGCGGCATTAGGAAGGTTGAGAACCACTGCTAGTCCATCGGCCCTGTGACCTACTAATACACGCAGCATCCAACACAACCTATTCTCATACACACTTTGGGTAATTGTAAAGGCAGTGTTCATTAAAATGCATTTCATTTTCAAAATTGTGCTATCAATTGTTCAAGTGTATATACATTTTTTGGGACACCCTATATATGATACTCTATGTAGTATATATGATATACAATGTTATGATATGATATATAATATAGTATAGCATAGTATGATACTACATGGTATTGTATAGTAAACTATAGTACAGTAGAATATAGCTGTTAAAGTGTGTCTACATTTTTTGGGACACCCTATATATGATACTCTATGTAGTATATATGATATACAGTGTTATGATACTATATATAATATAGTATAGTATGATACTACATGAGCTGTTAAAGTGTGTCTACATTTTGGGGGGACACCCTATGTCATGATACTAAGTCGCCTCAAGGAACGGGGAGAAGTCTGCGGGGGTTACAGCCAGACGCCGTGGACAGTTTTCACGCCTGGATTTAAAGTTAGTCTGAGCCTCTAAATGACCATCGTAGCATGTGGTGCCCCCCGGCTCTCCAGACAGGACAGGAGGGGTGCTGCCCCCCTTCCCGGTGCGCTCACCGCTACTCCTGCCCGGCCCCCAGCAGGGCCGTGGCCAGCGCCTGGATGTGGGCCCAGGCCTGCTGCACGTGCGCGGACTCCGCGGCGCGGGAGCAGATGGCGAAGCGCAGCACGAACTTGTCCCTCAGGTGGCAGGGGACCAGGTGGATCTCCTTGGCGCCGTTGATTCTGTCCAGAAGGTCTTCGTTCAGCTTGTTGGAGCCCTGGGGGACCGGGGGGGGGGGAGGGGGGACGCCTCAGCGAAGGGAGCCACCGACCACTTGCCTTCATTGACAAGACAGTCAACCCGGTAACAGTTCCGGGGCCTGAGGACGCGCTGTCGAGAGCTGCCCTTCCCAGGTCCAGGGTTTGTTTTTATGAAAGTGCCCGGCCGGCTGGCTCAGGGGCTGAGCTCGACCAGGAGATCGTGGTTGGATTCCTGGCCAGGGCACATGCCGGGCTGTGGGCTCCATCCCCAGTGCAGGAGGCAGCCCATCATTCTCTCTCATCATTGGTGTTTCTCTCTCTCTCTCTCTCTCTCTCTCTCTCTCTCTATCTATCTCTCTGCCTTGCTCTCTCTGAAGTCAATAAAAATATCTTTTTTTAAAAAAAACGAGAACAGCCCTAAGCAGTGTGGCTCAGTGGATAGAGCGTCGGCCTGCGGACAGAAGGGTCCCGGGTTCGATTCCGGTCAAGGGCATGTACCTTGGTTGCGGGCACATCCCCAGTGGGGGGTGTGCAGGAGGCAGCTGATGGATGTTTCTCTCTCATCGATGTTTCTAACTCTCTATCCCTCTCCCTTCCTCTCTGTAAAAAATCAATAAAATATATTTTAAAAAATAAAATAAAAAAAGAGAAGAAAGACTGAAACGGACGTGCACGTACCTTCAGCCGGAAGCAGACCAGCCCCAGGGTGACTTCCGCGCAGATTTCAAAGCGGGGGTCCCGCTGCACCGCAGCCTCGAACTCGCGGGCCAG